ATATAGCTATAAAAAAGCCTCCATCAATCTTAAAGAAATTATATATATATATAATATGATGATGATCTCTGTGAGTTAAGTTGTAGCCAAACTTGTGGAAGACTACTTGCTTTTTTTTCTTCTGTACAACTAGCATGGATCTTGATGGCTCTGAACAAGATCCTGAAATGAAGGAATATTCTTCTGTCTATGTTGGGAGAGAAGAGGACATTAAAAAATCTGAAAGAATGACAGCTGTTGTCCATGATAGAGAAGTGGTCATTTTCTACCACAAAGGAGAATATCATGCTATGGATATTCGCTGTTACCGTAAGAGTTTATTTTTCATTTGTAAACCTTGTATATTTGTTTACTAACCACAAAACTATCAAAATTTCAGGCTTTTTTTTTTTTTTAGTGACTAGATGTAATATTCAATTTCTTTTCAGACTCAGGAGGACCTTTACATTTGGGAGATATAGAGGTATGTAAAGTTAAATCTATCCTCTACAAATTCACATATTTCTTATTTATATTATTTCATTCTGTATGCAAAAATAATTTATATTTGGGTTTGAACTATATTTTAATGCTTTGAGATAATTGCTAATATTCCAGGAATTCACAGTCCTACAATGTAAAGAAAACTATTTCACAGATAAATAGGGGACGTATGCATGGCTTCTGACCTTGCAATTATACTCTGAGATATCTACCCTACAGATATCATTGCACAAATGTTCAAGTATATATATCGGAGAGGTTTACTGTGGCCTTATTTGTTGCAATGAAAAGTTGAAGGCAACCTAAATGTTTTAACAATAGGAAACAGTTTAAATAAACTGAATAGCCATGCTGTGGAAAACTATGTAACAACTGCCTCATTAATTTATGAGGCAGATCTGTATGTGTTGGTATGGAGGGATGTCAGCAATATATTTTTGAGTGAAAAAAGCAAGTCATAGAATGATAGGTCTAATGAGATCCCACTTTTTAAATAAAAAATAATATTCACTTTGTACTTTATACACTTCTACACAGTTTTGAGTTTTTTCAGTGAGTATATATTACATGAATAATGTAGTAAAAATATAAATATGTATATTTTAAAAAGGAAACCACACACTGAAGGCTTATTTGAGGAAGGAATGCGGGAACTTACTTCCTTGCATTCCCAAACTGGCTAGCTGCCTAATTTCTTGTTTTCTACTTCATAAAACTGATCTTTCTCTATCCCTCCCCTTCCCGCCACCCCCCCCCCCCCCAGCACTGGTACAAAATACAAGGTGAAACTTAGCATTCCACTCTCTCTATACTTCATATCTACCTACTTCCACACCTGTCCTCATGTTAAAGGATATATGTGTGCTTAAATAATGAACATGGATTTATGAATTAAGAAAATGTGATGTTTGTTGACTGGTCTGTGGGGGTACAAGATCAGTATTACTGCACTTCTGGTGTAGAGAAGCAAATGTAAGCACCTAGTGATGATAATGTGAAAGAATTTCCTTCCGTTTTGGACCATAATGAGACCTGTAAGACTTTGCTACTTAACGTGTGGTCCATAGACCAGCAACATTGGTGTCACCTGGGAGCTTCTTGGAACTACAGAATCTTGTGCCCTATCTTCGGACTACTGAATTTAAACAAGATCTGCATTTAAACAAGATCCAGGTGATTCCCATACTCTTTAAAATTTGAGAAGCACTGACTTAAGACAGTTAAAAAGTTGGGAATTGACTACTTTGGATCACAAATTGCTCTTCAGTTAACATACACACTCGTGCCTTTAGTAACCTCTCTTAAATTTATATTTGAAGCTTACCATTCTTCCAGCAGCTAGTGAAAACTCCTTTAGAAGCACTTGATGCTCTTGCCCCATTTCTGTCAAGGAAGTGACATTAACATCTAATAGATAACATCATAGCTTCAGGCACATGGTATAGCTGCCTGAGCTCATTTTCTGATAGAGTTCTAACACACTGGGTTTATAATCAAATGCAGTAGGGACTTGATGACTGCTAAGATTAGGTTCTGCCTTATGCTGAATAATTTGTAAATGGAAGGAAAAAAGAGAAGCTGGCCTGTTCTTTAACCTGGTTTTTCTGCAATAGAATCTGTTCTGAGTCTGAGATTTATTGTGAATGTTGGAAATGTCAGACTATTAAATCATTTATTTCCTTTCCCAGGATTTTGATGGACGACCATGTATAGTTTGCCCCTGGCATAAATACAAAATTACTTTGGCAACAGGAGAAGGACTGTATCAGTCTATAAACCCTAGAGATCCATCAGCAAAACCCAAGTGGTGCTCCAAAGGAGTAAAGCAAAGGATCCATACAGTGACGGTGGACAATGGGAATATTTATGTGACTCTTTCTAATGAACCTTTTAAGTGTGACTCTGATTTTTATGCCACTGGAGACTTCAAAGTAATTCGGAGTTCTTTCTGATAAAACTATATGGCAATGAAAACTGTTGTGTATGTTTTGAATATATTAGAATAATTGTGCTTCACTACCAAAGAGTATTAATTTTTCCAACATAGGCACATTTATTACTTATCTTTAAAAATCACATAAAGCTGAGCAGTTCAGAAGTACATATATTTAGTGTGATGGAAGGATTATTATCAGGGTCTATAGAATACATTTCATCTAGTCCTCTGGATTGACTGGAACCTGAAGGTTATAGGTTTGTAATGTGCATTTTAAGAAGGGTGAAAATATTTGCAGTAACCACAGTGAAGGAAAGGTAAAAAATTAGATCTAATAAAAAGTATGGGGGAGGTAATCCCTATTTTGATTAGCAGACTTTATCATGCAAAAGTTTTAATATACACAAACTAAACAGAGTAGCATAATAAACTCTCATCACCCAACTTCAACAATTATCAGCATCCTTCCCTTCTTCTATTCCTGTATTCTTGTTTCACTGATACCTCGACACATTCTCCACCCCACCCCCCGCCATTTGGTTGTTATTCTTTCTTTTTATAGGTAAAATTTAAATACACTGAAATGCTTAAATCTCAACTAGTCAATTTTTCCAAATATAGAGTAGACTTTTTACACTTAAAACAATGCCTCCAAAATGGGATCAATTTACAATGCTTCGTTTAAAAATAAGAAACTTATTCAAGATTTCCATACAACACCCAGTGCTCACTACAAGTGCACTCCTTAATCCTCCTGTACTGCACATCGAAACTAAACAAATCTTGGCTCAGTTTCTCTCTGGTCAAAGCAAATACTCTCAAAGTAAGGAAGACACACACAGCTGCTGCCCAGCCATGAGAGATGTGAAGTTTGTTATTCAGTGAGCCAAAGTACTATGAATGTCCTACGTGAAATTTTCAAACAAAGGTTTGTTTTTGTTTTGTTTTGTTTTTGAGAATGTTGTAATGTAGTAGAACTAAGTGTTTCACGTAACTGTTACAGAGAAGAGATAGAGGGTGTTGTTCTTCAGTCCTTTCTGCTGAGTTCACAGGCAGGGTCGATGTTCAATTGGCCCACCCTGCTTTCATAGGCCCGTTATTTATGGCCAGCACTATTCTGGTTGCCTGGTGCCCACACTGTACTGTAACACCCTGGGTGCTTATCATCTAAAACTCGGCAGCATATAGTAGAATATAACCATAAGTAGAATAAGAACCAGGATGATCACATTATGAATTCAGAGTGCGAAAAACTGTCAAAATTGGAATTTTGTCTCTAAGCACAGTAATCTTCTTAGTGGCCTAGGATTGAATTAAAGCCCCAGACCTAATACTGAACGTTCTAGGGGGGGCCACTTGGACTCTTTTCCTTGGTTTTCATAAAAATAATAAGTGAATTAAGTACCTATAATTAAGGGTCTGCTTACAGAGGAGCCCTTTGCTACATATTATTACATTTCCTTTTCTGAAGGAATATGGGTAACATGAGGTGATAGAACACTTGTTACTCATTTCTCAGACTACTAAAAAGCCAAGGTTTGGCTTTTTATAAATACTTTTATGGCAGTAGCTATTTACCAGGTACAGGAAATGTATTATCACTCGATGGGTAAATCCTAGCCTATTATATCAGGTGCTAATCCTCCAATGACCACACAGGTCATAACACGTGTCCAGAATTTAAGACGTGTGGAAGAAACCAAAGTACCTCCTGCAGGCAAAACAGTGGCCCTCATTTGCAGGGCCAGTTACAGAAGCATTTTCTCTCAGGACCCAGTGGCAACAATGAGTAATATGGACTTGATTTCTGGTTCTAAATGTGTTCCAACAAATCTGGAAATGAAAAAATGTCATGTCATATCCTACCCTCATATATAGAAATTTTCTATAAGATTTGTAAATAATATTTTGTTTTATAAATTTATTACATCTGAGAATTATAAGTCCTTCATAACTTTACAGATGAGTTTAAAAAAGGATCGATAATAGGCATATTCAAACTATTTAGCCTATAGATAGAAAATAAATATCCTTTTATTATCTCTGAAGAAGATATGTAGCATTTTGATATGGAGGGTATTTTCCCTCCAGATGAATACAGTTGACCCTTGAACATTGTAGGGGGGGCGGTACCAACCCCACACACAGCTGGAAAATCCACATATAACTTTAGACTCCCCAAAAACTTTACTAATAGTCTACTGTTGACTGGAAGCCTGACTGATTACATACACAGTTGATTAACACATATTTTGAATGTTCTATATATTATATAATGTATTCTTAAGGTAAGCTAGAGAGAAATGTTAAGAGAGAATGTTAAGAAAATGTTAAGAAAATCATATGGAAGAGAATATAAATTTCCAGGACTGTAATTTATTTATCAGAAAAGATCTGCATATAAGTGGATCTGCACAGTTCAAACCCATGTTCAAGGGCCAACTATAATTGGAAAGGTACTTGAAACAGGTCTTTATAAAAACATAAATGTATTATAAATATACCGTTATAAACGATAGCATAAAGTCTAACCCTCCAAAGGGTTCACTTTCTTGTTCATTAAAAAATATCATAGTCATACTTCTACATCAAGATTCATTTTATTTTCTCTACCATATATATACTTGAGAATGACATTTTAGTAGTTCCCCACCCCTTTTTTAAAGCAGAGCAGTCAATATATGAAAACTAGTTTCCTGGTTTTGTCAGATGAAATGTGATTAGATAATAACTCTCAAGCTCCACTCAGTGATATTTATGTTCTGATTTGCTCATTCATTCATTTCAGCTGATTGGTCAAACACAGAATGTAAAACCTGGATCTTATTATTCAACTTATTAGCAGGAAGTTTGGGGCGATCTGAAATATTGTCTGGTTTCTCCGGTAATGACCTGTAAGGTTTTGCTTTGATTTCACTTTCAGGAAATGTAGGCTCAGAAAGCACAGGCTCAGAAAAGGCTTTTCTAAGATTTTCACTCTCTTCTCTGTTTTGCCTTATGGATTCTTCTTCTTGGAAAATTTTCTTTACCTTCTCCAGCACAGCATTAACACAGACTGTCTAATAATAATAAAAAAAAATTTGCAAAGTAAAGTTTCTGTTTAAGCTACTGAACTTCTAGTAATAAGTCCAATAAAATGTGTAACATAAAGTCATCAATCTACTTATTCTAATAAAGAAGCACTTCCTTTCCTGGCACATGATAAACATCAGGAGATTGATTCCTTGTCCTAAATATATTACACCATCATCTAGAAAGAAAATTAAAGCATAGTATGCTTCAATGAAGACATGTTTTACCTCTTCGCCCCCCCAATTCATTAAATGTTTTTTATCTTTACTCTCGGATTTAATTAAATGAGACTCCTTTCTTCTGAATTAAATGACACATTTTCTGGGAGTTGGAATTTGTCCTCAAATGTGTTAATATCTCAAAGTAGGTTTCTTGTTTTTACTTTCTCCCCCTACGCTTTGCTTATACCTATGTGTACAATTGAAAGGGCATAAACACATTAGTTAGAATTTAGTAAGCTAGTTGATAAGTGATTTCTAAGCAAACACATGATCCATTTTCCCTCAAAAAATGCCATTCAGTACTTTGAGTGTCAAAACAAAACACACAGAGAGATATAACTGAAAATTGGGAATCAGTAAGAACTATAATGATGAAGATGATGATGTTGCTAAGTATCTAAGGCAAGCAACAAGAATAATAAAATCCATAAAATATGAGAAGACCTAAACTAGCTTATCTTACCAAAGCAATAGCTAAAGCTCACATAATAGGCTATAAGCTCTTAGAAAGTTTTCCTAAAGAGGGCAATAGAGAAAGGATTGAGGGCCTTGGCTGACCAACCTCAATTTCTTCCCGATCTCCGGCCTCCTCTTTTCTCGGCCTGCGCCCCACTATAGAATGAGGGAATACCAGATGCTTTCCTTCATTTCCCTGCAGTTCGTATGTGGTCATGTGACCCTGTTTTAGCCAACAAGATAAAATATATCTGCTGGGGAGGAGGTCAGGAGGGATTTTTGAAAGTTTTTCTCCTGTATAAAAAGAAAGACTCTTTGTCTTTTGCGTCTAACTATCGCCTCCCCCTGCTTTGGACACTGATACAGATAGGATGCCTGAGCCTGAGGCAGCGAGGACCAAAAACGATAAACAAGACAGCACAGGAGAAAGATGGAAAGGCCCTGGGTTCAGATAACATTGTAGATCAACTGTACAAACCTGGGAACCATCTAACTCTAGACTTCTGATTAACTGAGATATTTAAATGTCTTCATCAATTAAGGCACTGCCAGGTATTTTTGGTTACTTGCATCCAAGCATATCCCAACCTAGAGCTATAAACCTTGAGGTCCATCACTTCCAGCTGCAAACAGCTTCATCCATTTATCCCCTAGTAGGATCATTTTCTATGTATGCCTTGTTGTGAAAAAAGATTAGTGGGGCACCTGGGTGGCTCAGTCTGTTAGGTATCCCAACTCTTGATTTCAGCTCAGGTCATGATCTCAGGGTCATGAGATCGAGCCCCCTGTGGCGGGATCCAGGCTGGGCATGAAGCCTGCTTAGGATTCTCTCTCTCCTCTCCCTCTGCCCCTTCCCTGGCTCGCCTTCTCACATACACACTCGCTCTCTTTCTCCCTCCTTTCCCCTCCCCCCAAAACAGATCAGGAAGCCCTGTTCTATTTGATATATTTCTTCTTCCCTCACCTACAAAATTTTATCTGTGCCCATTCTAACCACTTCTACCGCAGTCACAGAAAATGAAGGGTCTTGACTGAGGTCAGTATCTCTGTGTTTATTTTTAATCCATACCCTACCTCTTCTCTACAACTATTCCATGGCTTTTCAGCCTCTCCTTCTTGACTGCCTCTTGCCCTGAAACTTCTAATGTGCTCAAGTATCTTCTATCTTAAAATAAAAATCCCTGGCACCCTGTTTCTCTCTTGACTGCTATATGTGCTTGCTTTTCTTGATCAAACCAGGGTCTATATTCATGGCTTTAATTTTTATCATCTCCTCTTCACTGAAACCTCTTATTTCTGTCTTTGTTATTCTATCACACCACCTTGAAATAGTTACAAGATGGTTGACTCCAACATCTTTACTATTAGATCTTTATTTTACTTGACTTTTTCTGCTGGTAATTGACACTTAACTGCTCACAACTTCCTGAGTATTTCTTTGACACTTTCTCTCCTGATTCTCTTCCTACTTTTCTGATTATTGCTTCTTTGTCTCTTTCATGGATTTCTTCTTAGCTCACCTTAAATGTTGCTGTTTTTTACATTTCTGTTGATTTTCCACTCTTTTCACTTCCAGACTTTTCACTCTTTCCACAATGGTTCCACTCACCGGACATTAACTTCCAACATATAATTATTTGCTTTCAAAATCATAATTCCAGCCTTGACCTCTCCTAGACCTTGGGTGCATACATGACCAATTATCAGGTCACCAAAAAATTGTTTCTAATACCTACTTAGAAAGTTTATAGAATCCTAAGTCATGTGGGATGATTTCAAAAGCCTTCAATAAATTAGAGTTTAATTTAGTTTTAGTCTAATTTGTTAGTTTCACCACGGCTATTTCATCCCACTCATTTTTTGCAGTATATTTGCATCATAGTTCAGTTGATGTCATTTTTGTATGAGATTCACATTTAAGACACTGAACACTTCTCAAAAATTTTAAACACTTGCAAAATATGTTTGCAAAAAATATAAGTTCTTTTTAAAACTATGGATATGTTTATAAAAGTAAGTGCCTTTACTTTTTTTTCAAGGATGTCTTGGCTATTCTTGACCTTTTTCATTTCCCTGTAAATTTTAAAATAAACTAGTCAACTTACACAGCTGCTCATATTTTAATTGGGACTGCAATCAATCTATAGATAATGGGGAAAACTTAATCTTTATTATTGTGTATCTCATGATAAAAAATATTAACAAAAATGTGTAAGACCTCTAACAAAAAAGCCATAAGAATTATTAAGAAGAATTAAAGAAGACCTAAATAAATAAAAGGATATACCATGCTCATGGATTGAAGGGAGGACTTATTCTACTAGTTATCAAGATTTATAAAGCTCTTGTAAATAATACAATGTTGAATCAGTGTAAAAATAGAGAAATAGATTAATTGAATAGAACAGAGAATCTATAAACAGACCTACATATATAGACACTTGATTTATGACAAAAGAAGTGTTCTGGGGTGATAGGAAAAGTTTTTTCTCCCCAGTAAATTGAGTTGGATCAACTGGATACCTGTAGAGGAAAAATTTGTCCCTTACTTCATACCAATTCCGGACGGATTATAAATCTAAAAGTGAAAGGTAAAATAATAAACTTCCTAGAATATATCAGAAGGAACAGCTTCATGACCTTGGATATAGGTCAAGCTGCTCTAATTAAGACATAAAAAGCACTTAATATAAAGAAAAGATTAATACATTGGACCACATTAAAATTAAAAACTTCTGTTTTATAGACACTGCTAAAAGGGTGAAAGGAAGTCACAGAATAAAAGAAATAACCAAAAGAAGGTTTATGCATAGAGTATATTTTAAAAGTACAAATCAATAATAAAAAAGATAGAATAGAAAAACAGAAGAGACTTTAACAGAAATTCACAAAAGAAGATCCCAATGTCCACTTGATGCATAAAAAAGGAACTCAGTCTGATTAATAATCAAGGAAATGTAAATTAAAGCACAATGTGATAATACTACATACTCACAGGAATGGCTAAAATGGAAAAGACTGACAATAGCAACTGTTGGACAGTATCTACTAGAGATGAACGCGTGCATATTCTGTGGTCCAGAAATTTTACTAAAACATATGTACAAGAATATTCATAGAAACCATATTCACAATTGCCAAAACTGTAAGTAATATAAAATGTCAACCATAGTGTGGATAGTGACTTATAAATATTGAATATATACGTATTCAATCAATGAAATACTACACAGCAGTGAAAACCAACAACTATTGCTATAGGCAATGAATGAATTTCATAATGATAACTGAGCAAAAAGAGACAAATATAAAAGAATATATAATATATGATTTCATTTATATACAACTTATACTGTCTATGGTATTAGAAGTCAAAATAGTGGTTACCCTTTATAGAAGAGGTTCATGATTGTGAGGAAAGTGAGAAAGAGGTTTCTAGGATGATGGTTACATTTTGTTTCTTGATGTGTATGGTAGATAAATAGATTTTGTGATAATTCATCAAGCTGTGTACTTTTCTCTCTGTGTATTATATTTTTTTAAAAAAATTTAGAGGTAAGTATAAATGGCAGTGGATTAAAAGAAAATAACCTTATAATTTATAAAATCCTTTATATTTTTGTCATACTTTGTTTTTATTTTATTTTGTTTTATTTTAATTTTGAGAGAGAGAGAGAGAGCACACATGTGAAAGGCAGGGGAGGGGCAAAGGAAGAGTGAAACAGAGAATCCCAAGCAGGCTCCACACTCAGCGCAGAGCCTGATGCGGGGCTCAATTTCACAACCCTGAGATCATGACCTGAGCTGAAATTAAGAGTTGGATGCTTAACCAACTGAGCAACCCAGGTGCTCCTTTTGTCACACTTTGTAATGAACACTTTTGAATTATAGCACTTGCAATTCAAAATACACTAATATTTGTGTTCCCCAATATCATAGACTTAAATGATGGAATACTGAACTTTAGCCAACCATGGCACAATGGCTGAAACAAAACAAACGTAGCTAAGTGAAAATAAAACCAAAATGTTTTGACCAAATAATAATAAACTTTATGAAAATCATTTTATTCAAGTAAATTTGTTTTTGGTGGATTGACTTGCCTCAGAAATAGGTTGATTTTATCTCAGAAAAGTAATTTTTTTTAGAAAAGTAATTTTTAATGTAAAATTATTTGTGTAACAAGAGAACAGTACCTTGGTTTATGAATTTATAATATATCTATATCTTTAACATTACATGAAATAAGTATATTTATATCTAGATTCTAATAATTTTCTTAACTTACCAAATAAATTAGTGCTGCATATGAAGCATACATTATGCTAGTTAAAGCAGTCTTTGCTGGAAAAGAAATGATTTCAAACAAAGAACCCCTTCTGACCTGCAAAAACAGAAAAAAAGTTTTCTTATTATAATAAAAGTTTTCAGTGTTACAATATTAAATTTTACAATGTTACTGTAAAATGAGAATTTAAATATTTCTTTCTAAAGAAAGTCATCTGCTGGGTCTATCTTTTTTCACATTCCGAAAATATATTGGCTTATTTACTTATTAGTTTTTTTACAAAAAGGTACTTTCTTTTGCTATGACAGATCTATAAAAAATCTTGCATTTCCAAAATCTAAATTACTTTAACTTTTTTACATTTAACAAGTGTGCTCACTAGGGGGTGCCACTGTGCATGTTAGAAAAACAGCACTGGGTGTTAAACGCAAACAATGAATCATGGAACACTACGTCAAAAACTAATGATGTAATGTATGGTGATTAACATAACATAATAAAATTTAAAAAAAATAAAAAGCACATATACAAACAAAAAAAAGAAAAACAGTCTTTTCTTTGTTCAAATTCCTGTAATCATCCTTTACTAAATTATTCACCTCTTCATTAAGCAAACAGCAATCGAAATACTAAGCACTTCCTGCAGATTAATGACCTGATTGGAAATGTTAATCATGAGACTGCTGAAGGCCAGCATTCACCTTAGATGATCATTAAGCTTCAGGAAATGCTCTGTGCTCACATCCAGCAGGCTTTTTTGAAACCGAGAACGTTTACACCAATAATGAATTTGTCTCAGAAGTTTCTAGTTTCTGGTAATAAGCGTCTCTGCCTCAAACATAAGAGAATATATTTAGTTTAAGGGATTAGACTCTCTTTGAGGTCACCTCTGTTCCCTTGAGTAGGATATGAAAGGAGGGCCTTGGGAAAAACATTCCCTTCCCATTCAGCAGTGAAGTGGCAGTTAGCCATGCTCCTCTGAACTAAGTGCCAAGACACTCAATGGCTTCCAATAACTCCCAAAGGGACAGGCTGTAGCTAATAAAATCATGTAAATGCACAGTAAAAAATGCATAAAAACTAGAAAAACAGTATGTATGTGTACATTAAAGTTAGTTACGACACTGAAAAATTGAAACAATTGGTAGCAGAATGGTTAGGTGAATTAAGCTCTATCCACTCAATGGCATATTGCAGCCTTTTAAAAGGTGCTTCTGAAGAATGCGTAATAACGTTTTATTGAACAAACGTTTGCATGGCACTGTGTTCTAAGTGCCTGTTGCAGTATATTCAGTTTTCGCTCACTGCTGCCACTGCTGAAGGAAGAAGAAAATTGCCCATCACAATTTACCTTCTTCTCTCTTAAGTGATTTATGGAATGCTGAAGCCAAGAATACCATCCAGCCTACCAGCTAGGAGAGAGAGGCGGGGTGGGGGTCGGGGGCGGGTCAGGGGAGGGAGGCATTCCTTCTTATTCCTTGTCTTCCAGGCCATACTGAGTCCTAGATAGGGGAATAGGTAGGGGCAGTTTTAGCCCACTCTCTCCATAAGTTGGTCTGGAAAACTTCCCAGAGTTCCTGGCCTCTGGAAAGAGTTTCCAGGAACTGAAGCAGCTGCTTCCTGCTCTTTCCCTCTTGCTAGAAGAGTCAAATTGATGGCATGCTTTTGAATCTCACTATTAGGCTACAGGGAGACAGACAGACAAGTAGAGAGCAGACGCTAGGAAAGACAGTAGATATATTCCAACAAAATGCCTCCTAGTAGAGTAAAAGATTCATGAGTTTGTGAATATATGGATGTGCAGTGGGAGGTCTATACTCAATAACTGGTAGGCCATATACAATAAAAATAAAAGTGGGGTCTGCATGCATGAGAAATTACTCTGTTTCTGTTTCACCGCATCTTTTTTTTTTCACATTTTGTCCTTCACCTGAAGTAATTAAAACTGATTACTTTTCAAAGTTTCAAAATAAATTATATATCTGATACATGTTATGCTTCTGAATGATGAATCTGTATATTGCCTAAGGGTTACTTTTCCACCATCTTAATGCTTTTAATAAATACTTGCTATTCCTGTAACAAATCATTCCTGTAGAAAATATATTTCCTCCAAAATTTATGTGGCTACTGGCAAGTAGCCATTTTTCAATTTTATGAGCTACTTCCAATACATGTTTTTCATATTATAAACCATGCTGTTTCATTTTTGGCTTGCTATAAGCAGAAATAGTGTATGATAAAACAGATAAATAGGAGAGATTTGTAAATCAAAGAATGTATTTACATCATCCCAACCAATTAAAAAATTTTATCTGAACTTATATTAATTTTATTTGCATATTTAAGTTAAAGGAATGTTGATATCAGTATTATGCCCATATATTCCTTTTTTGAATTTTTAATATTAATATATATGTATATATAAGATATGTGGATATGTTATATGGTCATACTAACATCTCAGATATATAGATATTTCAACAGTAAAAACATTTCAATCTTTAACAAAATTTCTTTCACATAATTTTGAGTTCCACCTGTCACATAACTGTGACACCTCATCTCATAAAAGAAGTATCTGTGTTTATCTTATTTTCATTAAAATTGAGATAAATCACAAAAAAGCAAACCATAAGCAGTTTAGAAAATAATAAAGATCCACTTATAGATGACTCGAAGTTTAAAGAATCACCAGGCCCAAATTAGTTTTTGTTGTTCCCAAAACCACCTTGACAAAGGATACGTGGGGAGTAATAGAGAAACTTTAACTCAGTGATTCACAAGTGTTGCAAGAAGCACTGACTGGTTAATAGGCCCAGAAAAAAAGTATTTCCTGTAAGTTTGGAAAAGTTACATGACTCTGTCTCTGCTTGAGCAACCCACAGTATTCATGAACCCAGGAAGGACTCCTAGCAGTCCATAGTAAAGAAAGCTATTGGACTTCGTTTATCCCAGTATTACTATCCTGTAGAATATTGTTCTTGAATAAGCTCTTACTCACATGGTCCTATAAAAGCTTAAATGTCCCAATCTCTTGGCCAACCTGGAGAAGTTATGTCTTCAAGATTCCAGGGATTCTACTTTCCAGGAATTGTCCTTTTTCCCCAGGTCTTGAATTATACCACCCAAGATAACCTCATGGCAGGCCCATCGAGAACCTATAGAAGTTCTTGATATTTTTGAGGTTTACATATATATATTTTTTACATAAAATATGTGAGGTTTGAGTTTAAACTCCAGTCTACGTTGACGTGTTGGGGGTGAGGAAGAAACTATACTTAGAGAAGTGTCTGATCTTCATCCTGAAAAGGGAGCACAAGTTCACTGGGATCCATGTAAATCACAGCCATTGTAGATGGTGAGGGTTTTCTTCACTTTTGCCCACATCTGGCCTACAGCACTCCACAGTGCCTGTACAAAGGAGAAACAGTCATCTCTAATGCCACTATAAGGAAGATTGTGACATATATAAGGAAGATTGTATCATAGCAAGAGCTCCTGTGGCCCTGCATTGCCCTGCCAAAGTCAACAACTACGTCTGGGAGCTGACGTGTCTTGGCTGAAGTCAGTGTTCAAGCTGATTATCTAGGTCACTGCAGCCTAGAGCAGCTGCAAGCTTTACTCATCCAGACAGCTTCTAAGGCCAAGCAGATGCACCATTCTTTAAAGTACTGATGCTGGGGATGTTGAAAATCACCAAGAAATGATCTAACCAGAGTTTTCCATTCCTGAGGCCCTTTTAGACCTAGCAGATAACTTGCTATACTCTCAGCCCTACATAAGCTGGAAGGGTTTGAGAAACAACCCGACTCATCACCCATAAAGACAGGTGCAAAGGGAGTCTCTTTTAACAAGCTGGAGAAGACTGACTCCAACTATGTGCTCATGTTAAAACAAGCCTTTAGGGTCTCTTCAGGTCACTTGTATCAGTTGGGTCTTTGGATAGTTCATATTGGGCTCAATATCTTTGAATATGCTAACATAAATAGGACTTGCTCTAGGGCTGAGCATATAATCAGAAAGGCTTGGGCATATTGTCAAGGAGCTCCTGTAACAACATTCATACTCTAATTATCTTGAGGAAGACTATTACTGTATGCTTCATCTCAGACCACATCAGGGGGCTGAAATACTATCCTAGTCATAGGTAGTATCCTAATGAAAATGCTCCTCTATTACCTGTTCTTGAGGGAGCAATCTGCCTCACTGGCAACCTCTGCTACATAATATCAAACAGAGTTTTGGTAGAACCATTTAAGGTGCTCTATGCACACAAGTATCTTTCTGTCATTAATTATCCTCAGATCAGTGAGAAGTCAGACATATGAAGAGGATCTTTAACACCTTCAGATAGGTTAACTAGGCTGCTTACCTTCCTATATAAAGTGATGTCCTCCATGCATCTACAAAGCATATCCCTTTGCATTAGCAATCTCAGATTTCACTCCTTTTACTTATGCACACCAGAAAGTTCCACTTTGACAAAGGCAGCCTGACAATCCTTGAAGGAATTCATGCTGGAAGCCACTCTGGATAAGCTAAACTCTGTCACTATAGAAAGACAGCCTAGCAATGTATGTACCAGGGCTGGTGTAGCTCCCTCATGCTATGCCACTTATCTCTCTGGTACACTGGTACCCTGGAAAGGCTCCATTCGCAGACCAATCCTTTGACCTCCACCACACCTCTTATATTACTCTGTTGTTCCTTTGACTCTCCAGGCCATTATCGTCACTATTTATACTTCTATTCCTTCTTCACTGGGACTTTTATATCTGAGATATGTTGTTTTCTTGCTTGCTACAACATAATTCCTCTCAGTAGAAATTCTGATTCTCCACCCTAGCTAATACATATTATCCAAGTAAAGCTTATTCCTCATTCCTAACCCCTAAGGACCCGGAAACATCTGACCTGAGACTGTTCCCACTTGTCTCACTCTAGCCATATGGAACTGCTTACATTTCCTAAATAAGTTATGCTCTCTCTGACCTCAACATCTTAATATACAATGTTCACTTCTGGGAATAATACTCCTACTTCTTCACTTGGTTAATAGCTCCTCTCTCAAGATCCAGTACAACACTGACTATTCTGTGGAATTATATGCCCCTTGTTGATGCTTCCATAGTACACTTTGCACACTCTGATCATGCACCTGCTGCACTCCACTGACACTGCTTACTTGCCGATCATCCACACAGTCCATATAGGGCAAGAGCAAGACATCTATGAATCCTAGTATCTAACTTAGTGATTTTACATGTCAATGTTCAATAAATATATGTTGAATAAATGAAAAAGTAGAATAATACATCACTTCCAGAAAGAAATGTAACGATCTTATATTAAAATTCATAAAAGATACCAGATGAAAGACATCTGGTTCCAGAAGTAGGGCAGACTGAGCTAATGTGGAACCCTCTGGAAATTCTATATAAATACCCCTAGAAATGCCCCTAGAAATTCTATATAAAATCAAACTCCAAAATGTAATACAAGACTGAGTTTACAAAAAAGAAGAGAAGGAAAAAAGAGGGAGGGAGGGAGGGGTGGGGAGGAAGGCAGGAAGGAAGGCAGGAAGGAAGGCAGGAAGGAAGGAAGGAAGGAAGGAAGGAAGAAAATTTCCCTGTGCCAGGAACTAAAAGGCGGAGCAATAAGTGTGTGAGTATATGTCCCAGGAAGTATCAAAGAGAGATAAGTAAAAGGAAAATATGAGTAAATAGACATAAAGAATAAAATGAAAATGTCCAAAGTATGTTTAATAGATACTCCAGAAGAGATTAGAGAAAATGAGAAAGAGGTAATATTTGAACAAACAATGGCTAAGAATTTCCCAAAACTGAAAAAATTATCCTTAGATTTAAGAATCACTATGATTCACAAAAAGCATTTTGACAACAGCTAATAAAACTGAAGATATGCATCCCTCGTGACCCAGTAATCCCTCTTCTAGATGTATACCTGGAGAATGTCTCTCACACACAGATAAGGAGTCATTTACAAGAGTGTTCAATGAAATACTGTTTGCAAAACAAAACGAAAAAAAAACTGGAAACTAAATTGCCCATCTGTCCAATAATAAACTGTGGATAATTTTCTCTTACAATGAGATATGACAAAGAAGATTAAAATAATAAACCATAGCTACACATTCAAAAATGTTGAGTGAAAAAAAAGTTTCAGAAGGATGAGTACAGTACAATATAATTTATATAAATTTTAAATATATGGAGAATAATAGATGTATACACATGTAGTGAAACTATAAAAGTATGCACACAAATGCACACACATCAACCTCAGGAAAATGATTACCTTTGGTAGAGAAAAAAGTGGGGACTGGATCAGGACATGGTTAATTATATTTCTTTTTATAAAGGAGATATCAAAATCTATATTGCAAAATATTACTACCAATTTACATTTGGATGAGACTTCTGATACACTACCTTTAAAATGTTTTGAAATGTTTTATTGATAAGAATTTTAAAAATCAAAGCTAGATTCTAAGACAATTAGAGTAAGAGCAGAGGAGAAGAAATTTCATGGGTGTTGATTTTGAACTGATGTCACAGAGACAGTCACAGTCAGCATATGGACCTTAGGTCATTTATTCCGTCCCCCTGCTTCTTTCAACTTAGGTTCCTGGGATACATTATCACAATTAAGCTTTCAATTTGCCTGTGAAACCCACTGTCAGTTAGGGCAAAAAGGCAAATGCATTGTGTTCTTCAGTTCTCATGACTGGATAAAAGGAAACATAAATTCAACTGGAAAGATAGATTATTTTCCTGCCACTGAATTTGCATGAGTACTGGGAGGCAATTCTCTGTGGATGTCTCTCTTTCCTGTATAGATTGGGCTTTCTGAGCAAAGGACATGGTTGAATAACAAACAGCTTTAGAAGCTAGAGAAAGTATATTCCTCTGGAGGGATCTAGAGACGTACTTCCCAAGACATGTCACAGGGCACTAAAGAGAAAGCCTTCTCCTTAAACTTTCTAGAAACATTTACTTCTCACCCCCAACCCCCTCTTACTTTTTCTCCCTTTGTCTCTCTGTCTCTTGTCTCTCTCTCTCAGGCTGGGCCAATAGGCCAGCACTCCTATAAAAGCTGAGTCTCCGAATTTCAGGCTCCTGTGCTGTACTGTGATGCAACTCACCACACTTGGCTCTTGTCACATTGCCCTGTGGGACCTGAGGGCTTAGCTATTGCTCTGACTGCTGCTTGGCAGTTAATAATAAACACTCTCTGTCTCTGATTCAAGGGAGTCGTGGGCCTTCTATCGGTGTGTGTGTTTGTACAGCTGTGGCAGGCTAACTTGTTAGCTCGTAAATAGTGTAAAATCTCAGAGTCTTCAGTGCTGACTTAGCAAAGAGAAGCAAAAGGAAAGACTGAATGACATAATGGACAGTGTCTTTAAATGTGATTCCATAATACATACAGAAATATTCTTCAAAGGACATTTCTTATATCAACCCTCTATAAAAACTGTGGGTTAATGCAAGGAAAGAAACATCAAGGCAAAATGTTCATTTTAGCAATGTATTTCAGTGGATATTGCACAGCTCAGCTGTATTTCTTTTTGACAACCTAAAGATACAGGAATAACGTTTATACTGCTTAGAGAATGCAGTAGGTAACAAACATAAAGCGTTTTTTACTCTTTCAAACATCAGGTATTATAAGGGAGCCTTTTATAGTTGCTATCTCAGGCAATTCATAGTTGAACCTATCCCATGATTTCTGGAAATGTTAAAAATCTTTGATTAAAGAGAGATTCCTATGTAAAGGATAGCTTGTTGATTTTAGCCACCGTCATCCATTTTCTCATCTTTTCAAAATAACCCAAATTTTGTTTGAGGATTCATCCTTTCCCCATTCTCTGGTCATGTGGTCTGGATGGAGCTCCAACCTCCACTGTAGGGAGAAAGCAGGGAATCAGGTCCTGGGCCAATCACTGCACCCCATTCCCCTGGTTTAGAGGTAAGCCTTTCTCGGAGAGTGAACCTCAGGACTTGGCTGGGAATACCGGCTCCAGGACTGTCATTCTTTAGGGCTGTAATTGAACCTGGAAGGATGGAGTCCTGGGCACAGCGGCAAATCATCTTGTAAGCACGAAGGGAAAGTCAGTGTGTGAATGGAGGCAACACAGAGGAAGCAGAGCCAGGAGATGGGTAGAAGAGAAAAAAGGAACCCTGAAGGCATCATTTGAGTACCTCCATCCTGAAGCCTTAGCAACTCCGGATTGTTCAACTGCAGGAACTAATACATACTTTTTGGCTTCACTCCCTTTGAGCCACGGTTCTTCTCCTTTCAACAAAGGGTCAAAATGATGCACCCTGGGGTTCAGGTGCCAGGCTTGCAGGAGTCCCAATCGTTTGTAACGAACATTTAGAATGCCTGGAATAATGCTCAAATGGAAACCCCCAGAGTTTTAAGTCACAAAGTTTAGAAAAAAAGAAACTGGTCCTGAACAAGGTTTTAAGAGCTGTTGTCCTTAACAATATATAATAGAGCCTCAATGTAACAATGTAGAAGCTGTATTTTGAAATACACTAGATGTCAGTGGGTCTATCACAATGAGTTTATAGTTGAATATATTCAAATATGCTAAGTCAAACAAAGATTATCTTGGAATATAGCAAGGTTATGGGGGAAAAGGAAAAGGAACAAAACCATCATTTTTAAGGCTTATAGGATTCCTTTTAGGTTTCATATAAGTGATAATCTATATGTTGATATTTAGGTTGAACCATTTGAAATTCAGTTTCATAGAGCTCAATCAAATAACAGAGCAGGAAAAAGGTCCACATTACTTCCTCTTTCCGATTTATTTAAACTGGAATATATATAGTATATTGAAAAAAGACCAAACCATTCATTTCTTATCCGATTATTCTTGTTTCATATGTAGGACAACCAAATGTGCTACATTTTCAAATCTTGCAATTTCAAAACAGTTTCTAAAAAAAAGAGTCCATATCTTGTGCACATGTTAATATTCACTCACCTGCACGTTATAGAGGGGTTGCTTCGGTGCATTAACTTCCCTCAGCAAACGATGTGATATGTCCCTTAACTCTAGAAGTCTACAAGCAAGCTGAGGCTGCAGAAGTTTGGCCACTGATTTGGAAGATCTGGATATGCTGTTTAATCCTTGAATTAATGTTCCTCGGTTGATCCTCGCTAAGGCGACAGCCATTCTGATTTTGGATGGTTTCTGCATGGGTTCTCTTTTCTGGAAAATAAGCCTCTAAAAAATGAGTGATGTGTGATTCTCCCGTGAATTATTACAATCTCCTTCAGACCGAGACCAAGTAGCACATAACAGCATATTATGCACAGTCCTATGCATATACTCAGTGTCCAATAATTATATCCCACCCCCACATACCTAAACTTTTCAATAAATGTATGATTTTTGCCTTAGCATAAATATCCAGAATTTAAGTTACTAGCCAAAAATCTAAATTTTTCATTTTTCTCTCTAGGTTTCTTTATTTTTGCATTGATTTTTTAAAGAGCACTTTCAAAAGTAAGCAGTTCTTATTCAAATATTACTCAATGTTTGAATTATTTGAACAATAATTCTTATTCAAAACTGTTACAAATATTTTCCCAGTTTATTTAAAAAATTCAAATGATAAAGCATTCATATATAATGCATGGTACAATTAAAAACTAAATAAAACAAATTCCCTATATATTAATTAACAAACTTAAGAAACTTTTACTTCTAAAAACTTCAAAACTTGTGAGCATTCTGAAAGAAAAAATTTGTGGCATTAGCAAAATATATGACATGTAGATCTTTCCCTGCTGTACCAGAAAGTGAACCACAGAGAAATTACTTACAATGTGGTTAGACTGCATTCCAGGCAACAACAAGTATAGTTGCCATTATTCATTTAAGCAATTTTATGGCCTATTCTGGCTTTTTCATATATGACTTGGGGGAAACTAATGGTTTATAACACAAGAAGCAACTTTGAGTCTCTATTTATTGAATCCAAATATGTAAGTACAAAACATCTTTTAGATGGATTGTTTTGGTCTACAATGAGCAGCATGTATTTGCTTAAGAGCTAGTGTACTGTATATTTACTTTAAATGCCTCAACTGTTATCCTGAAGAAATAAATTATTGCTGTTTTTGTCATTAAAGTTCAATGCTTCTCTTACTGTTTTAATATTCGTGACCGGAAATAACCAAAAAGTATACTAGCCTTTCAGCGAGGATGTACATCTGCAGCATCAGTCAATTAAGCGTCTGCCTTTGGCTCAGGTCATGACCTCAGAGTGTTGGGTTGAGCCCCTAGTTGGGCTCCCTGCTCAACGGGGAACCTGCTTCTCCCCTTCCCCTGCCGCTGCTCATGCTCTCTCTGGCTGTCTCTCTCTCTCTTTCTCCCTCTCTCAAATAAATAAAATCTTTAAAAAAAAATAAATATTTGCCTCTATAGAGAATAAGACTATCTGTAATTGATAATCCATGAATCAAAACTCTCCTGTAGGATCATATAATTTGTGTTGACAAAAATACAGCATTTATGATAAACAATATTTTTAAAAATTCAGATGTGCATTAAAATAATGCTTCAGTGCACTTTGTATTATATTTCTCATTTTAATATTGTCATAAATTCATAGCTTTTTCCAACAGACTCAACTTGTTCCTAGTTAATATCATCTTTGTTTCCTTTTAATACTGAAATCGTTACAATTTGATGACTGTGCTTCCCTTCATGTTTTTTTTTTTTTTTAAGATTTCATTTATTCATTTGAGAGAGAGAGAGAGCACAAGCAGGGGGAGCACAGGCAGAGGGAGAAGCAGGGAGCCCAATGCGGGACCCGACCCCAGGACTCTGGGATCATGATTTGGGCCAAAGGCAGACGCTTAACCGACTGAGCCATCCAGGCGCCTCTCCCCTCATGGTTTTTAAAATGCTTTCCTTTTTCGATACTTTCATAGATATGTCTGAATCTCTGAAAGAAACATTACCTCTAGCAACAAAATATCTGACCACCTTTATTTTCTCTGACACAAAACATACAGTCAGCTTGTTCCCAAGAAGACCATTTCTGCTTTCAGAATAGTATTAGAAACCAAATATAGACATTGAGGTGCATGTAAAGTGGTTTTTTTTTGTTTGTTTGTTTTTTTGAGGCTCTGAGAACAGAAAGGAAACAACAGAGGAGAGGCCACTTACAGTCCTGGAGATGCAGAATGAGATTTTCCTCTTTAAAAAAAAAAAATAATCACCAGTTTATAGTGATGATTACAATTCACTTTTTTTTTTTTTTTTTTTTTTAAGTATATGTGCTGCCAAAGCGAGCACGATTCCAATTCACTCTTACCTTCACAGAATTTTTAAAATAGGCTCTGGTAAAAAAAATTGTTAAATAAAAGGTTTTTTTTTTTCCTTTTCTTGAGCTACCAGCTTTTCCCTTTGTCTACTATATATGCTATATATTTTCCTAACAAGCCGCGTGTGTAAACTTAACTGACCCCAAGTGAAGAAGTGCTCACTTCTTCCCCTGGTTTTGCTGGACCCTTGTCCTAAGCATCCTGGAATTGGCTGCAAAATGTGCAAGTTTACATGATTCCTTTTGTCATCATTATCTTCTAAGCACGTTACCAGGTGTGAGAAAACCCTTCCCCTCCCACCTCAGAGACACACAACAGTAATAATCATTTACCACAAGAAACCTAGTGTCGATTAATCAGATTGTTTTGAGAATCCTCCAAATTTCACTCTTTGGATATATCCTGCTTTCCTGTTTTTTTTCCTAGAGCCATACTCATCTCTCTATCATCAATTGTTTTAATGCTGAACTCCAATTTCTGTTACATTAGCTTTTTACTACTCTACATCCAAAAAAACCCAGCCTGTCAGCAAGTCTTATTCAATTCTGTCTTTGAATAGTCCTAGAGTTTGACCACTTCTCAATACCCCCCGTGCCAAAACTCAGTCCATTGCATTTATCCACCATCTCTTCTCCAGACTAGTAAATTAGCCTCCTCAGTGGTCTCTCTGCTTCCATCCTTGTCTATGTTCATTCTATTCCTCAACACCTCAGCCAGAGAGATACGATTAAAACTTAGATCCTATCTTGCTTTTCTGCTCTGCTGCTTCAGTGGCTTCCTAGTGCACTCAGTATAAAGGCCAAATTACAAACAGTGGTCTACAAAGCCCTACAAAGGTTGTCTTTTCTTTACCTCCCTAACCTCACTGTCTTTTTCTCTCCCTTTCCTCCCCGCTATTTGTTGAGTTTGTTAAGTTTACTTCCACCTCAGGGACTCAGCACTAGCTATGCCATTTGATTCTTCAAAGGTACCAAGGTTTCTCACTTGCTTCCCTCAGGTCTTAATTCAAGAATTACTTTTTCACTAAGACCCTCTTAGTCACCCTACCTTAATGGTCAATTGTTTTCCTTGTTCCCACCCGTATTTCAAATCTCTGCCATATTTCTTCTTCTTCTTAAGACCTATCATTAACATAATATATAGTTTATTTTCCTTGTTTCTTGTTTTCCTACTTGACTAGGATGTAAGATCTATGATAGCAGTGTTTTATATCTATTTGGATCACTGATCTTTCCCCAGTACCTAGAATAGTGTCTGGTGCATAGTAGGGTACTCTATAAATATTTGTTGAAATGAATAAATGAGGAGTATCAGAAAATATAACAAATTAACATAGAGAAATAGAGGAATATACCAAATATTAAATTAGAAACCACCCTGAAAGTTTTCAATGTACAATATGCTCTGTAACTTTGACAATTATGGTAGTGTCCCACTAGAAACAACATGCCAAAGACAAAAATATAACTGAATTATAGAACACAATCCTACTCTCATCATATTTAGGAATTCTATACTAATAAAAGTAATTTCCAGATGTCACTGGTGCAGCCCCAAGAGTTTTGTCCTACATGTTTAAAAAAAAAAAAAAGAAGCCAAGAGAATTCAGAAAAGTACATCTACAGTTATAAAAATCCAAAGTTTTATATGGATTCTAATATGTTCTGCTTACAACTCCCAATTTTATAGTATAAGGTTAAGTGCAAGATAATTACAGAATAAAACACATAATTGCCTTTCATAATTAAAACCACAAAAATTGACCCTATTTTACCAGAAAAGATTTCTCTCATTCAAGTAAAGATCATCTAAATTAAAACTTTTTAGTTCCTTAATTGTAAAATACATTTTCATTTGTTCAAATGTAAAAGTTTAGTATTTTTAAACTCTCATATGGAAATCATTTGCAATTTGCAAATGTAAACCTTTAAAAATCACTGTTTTTGCTAAAGGAAGTGGATACTGAAAGTACTGGGGTCTGCGTTGCACTGGAGCGTACATGACATCAGAAGCCATGACTTCAAGCTAAGGTTCTAAAATTAACTTCCCTCAGCCCCAGGAAGAAAATTTCCTTCAAAGTCGTTAGTCATAAAGAACTATTTAATACCCACTATTCTTGGATATATCCCTCTATAAAAATCCCACCATCACTCCCACCAAAGCTTTTATTTGTTTCAGGCCAACAAGATGGTCTTTTCCTAAATAAATAAGTGCCTAAAACCTCTTTAAAAAGTTTTAAATATTAACCATGAAATTTAGAGATTTAAGATCCAACCCAATTAATTAAAACCCTCCAACTATTCTTAAAACCACTCCTTTCAGTATGCTTGGGAATTATGGATCATCCCCAAAATAATAAAATTTGTAGTATTTACAATCTGACCTTTCAAGTATAATTTAGTTATTCAAGTATTAGCATTGTTTTCTGAATAATTTATTTTTGAAGTACAAGTAACTTCAATATGTTACGATATCCCCTAAGAACTTGGATTTCTTGCCAATTTCAGCAAAGTAAATGGTGGAAAAAAGAACAATGTGTGTTGAAAATGAGACATAAAGTAACTGTGTTTATATTCTTCTCTGAATGAGGTAAAGTTCTTTTAAGTAAATAAGTTCGGTGTGTTGGAAATAGGAACTCAGAGTTCTTTCTTTGGGATCAGAATATCAAGCTATTTCACTATTAAACCAAACTTATGGCTCTAGTGATAATGAGGCTATTCAGGGGGTAGGAAGAGATGAAGGGAGTTGTAAAGAAAGTTGCAACTTCTTAGATTATTAAACACAGTTTCTTTAATGTTGTCGGTGGTGAGAGAATCACAACTTGGAAGGGGAAACAGGGCTTCCCAGACTGTGCCAGTCTCAGCCATTTCACATCCTAGACCAGGCATGGTCACCTGCCCATTCCTTCTCCAATACTCCAGAGCATACTCAAGAAAAATCTCCAACATTTAAAAAGACTCTATACTAAAACTAGGGGAATTCCGAAGGGGAAGCAACTAGACACCGAATCTAAGATACAGATTTATAAAATCTGGTTTGTAGTCTGGAGCTTTTAAGCCTCATCCTGTCCTACTTAATGGACCACCATTGGGATGCCATCTTACCACTAGGTATCCAGATATATACACTTTAGTATCAGCCCTCTCCAAAGTCTAGACCCAAGACTAATGCCATTGGTTCATATGTACTTGATATTCTGGGAACATGCTCTGCTGTTTCACACTTTTTGTCCTAATGGACACTGCTTCCTCTGCTCCTATCCACTTACCCTATCCCTTTTTTCACTTTGAAAATTCATATTCATCCTCTGAAACCCAATTTAAGCATCCTTCCTCCATAAAGCCTTCTCTGACCATCTTAGGTAGAGCCACTCATTCCTCCAAGTTGGATTTACCTCTTACCATATTCCAAAACAATTACTTGTTTACAATTCTGTCTCCATTAGATTAAGCTAATTGACTAAAAGCATCCTGTCTTATCTCTGTATTCCCTATCCCCAGTCCCAGTCAATAGGAAAGTATTTAGTAAATGTCTAATGCCTGGTTATATGGATGAATGTTTAAAAGTGGCTCTAATATCTCTCCTTTGAAATGAAATATATAGACTTTGTGATTACTATGTTACTCAGAGAGCTTTTTTGTTTACTTCCAGGTTTTGGCTATATTCCTCATGTTTGATATGACCAAAACTCTGATATCTGGATGAGGAAATTATTACTGTACCATGTAACTTTACAACATATTCTATTCCAACTGTGGTCTAGATGACTAAATATACTTTTCCATTAAGAGCTGTGTACTTTTAAGTAAATTAGGTTACAAAATATTACTTTTTCCTGATGTCTTTTTAGAATTCTGTACCTATTCCCTCTTCCACTCCCAATATTTTATCTGTCTCAAATCCTTTTGGGAACAGAGGTTATACAAAACATATGCACATATGCTTTGTTTAAACTGATATCACTATTTTCTTTCCACATTAAAACATACACCCATACCTTATTTATCTTTCCATTATTATAATTTATGTTGGTTATTTTTTTTTACTAATTTAATTGCCATAGATTTTAGTTAAAATATATCTAAGTATTTTCCTGATTTTTGTATTAAGCAAATCTTAAGTAAATATAGCAAACTACATACATTGCAATTGTGGCTACGAGAGAGTTCCACATTTCCAATCTAACAACACGGTGATTTTCTTTAAACTTAATTTATCTATCTCATTTCTTTGTCCACCATCTTTCTGCTTTCCATAGACCCACCCACTGAGTAAGATTTAAATTTGTTCTTCTGAGGCAAAATTAATTTCTTCCTAAGCTTCAGGCACTGATCTCAAAGTCAAGCATTAAATAATGGATATGATATTAAAAATACAATATACTTTTGGTAATCCTTTTTAAAGTTATGAAATCACATTACCTGATTAGACTGTGATAATCTGAGGATGGTAGGGAATTCATCTTTAAACTCATCTATAAGGTCCATGATGACTTTCTGGATCCCCTCGACTGAGACAAAAAGAAGTTGTGGGGGGAAAGTTAACGAAAAACATCACCTAACCACAATTCAAAAGAACATGGGACACTGGGTCCACTTTGTAAGTCCCTGGGAAAGCAAGTAAACCCTAGGGGACTTTATTCCCCATTGTTTCCCACACCCATATCCCCTTTACAATGAGATTGCTTATACTTCTTCCAGAAAAGTTCTTCAACACCTGCCCACATATCCACCCAACAGGTTTGATTGGCATGACAAATTCTTGCTTGGGTTCCTAGTGCTTGGCAAGTTTGCAGGCCAGGGCAACACTTGTCCTACTCTGCCATTAGTGAGGGATGAGGGCACCCTTCCACTCAGGAAAGCAGGCAAGGACAGAACCTACAGCTCATTGCCAGAATTCTTTGTTACTGCACAATGGGCCTCTGAGAGCTTGTTACAGAATCTTCTGAAACCACTCTGGCAGTGGAGAAGAGGAAGAATGTGTTTGAAGGCATAAGGGTAGGAGAAAGGAGAATGAAAAATAAACCATACTAAGGAGTTCTGCATTATTTGGAATTTTGACCCAACTTCTACAGTGATACCTCAATTAATGGATCATCTGAGAACAAAGCTCCCTTTGAAGACAGTTGGCATATGCTTTAAAAGAAATGCTTCACACATGATGCCAAGAGGAAAAGAAACACCAGCAGTTAGTTCAGAAAGACTTCTGAACAGATTGTTTTTCCTTCACTCAAATAAGGATCACTAGGTCAAAAACAAGCAAAATTATAAAATCTATGGTTTCCCTTCTTTAAAATTCCTCCTCCTCCTCCTTCTTCTTCTACTTCTTCTTCATCTTTTTCCCTCCTAGTACTCTCCCACTCCATTATTTTCCATTTATCAAACCTAGGAAGAATTTCATATCATGTGGATTTGATTGAATACCTAGTTAATATTTTCATATGGATGAATTCGGAGTTGATTAACACAAATCCCATTTTAATTTGAAGCCTTTGCAATGAATTTTAGCTAGACCATTGTCTTTGTCAAGCATAAGCTGTGGGTGCTAGAGGTTTGTTCATTGGAGCTGTCTAGGAAAGAGAAAAATGTTCATCAGAGAATGCCTCTATCATGTGAAGCCTGCCAGACCCCCGCCTTTAATTTGTCTTTAGTCCTAATCTGTCTGAGAACACTCTTCACCATACCACAAATACTTCTCTTAACCTTAGAATAACATGCTTCCCTCCATCATGACCCTAATGCTTAAGATAATTACGCCCTTAATATGTGGAAATTGCAATCCTTTGCCAGAAAGAAAATCTTATTAGACAATGATGAACACACAAACTGAAAGTCTGTAAGAAATGTAACCCTTTATTTGTCCTATTATGATATGTGCCTATCAGAATTTACCCCAGAGGAACAGTTGGTTGTCCCTTCTCTCTTCTGTCTTCTTCCCTGTTTTCCACTCTCATTGACCCCCTAAGTTCTTTTCATCCATCTGCCCACCTCCTGATGTTTGTCCTAGCTCCCAATTGGTTTCAACCAGTTTTTTTTTCTCTTATTAGTTCTCACCCTCCTAAGCATCTTATGAAATTAACAAATCTGTAAGAAAAACCAGGTCCTCATGCTAATATTGTCCACAGGTAAAGCATAACCAGACTCTGTGTCATGCTAACAAAGTTATTTTTGTCTTTGCTTTCTTAATGACTCTCCTTGGGAGAGGAATCATGAAAAAAAGACAGGGGATAATGAGATTTTAAAAAATCCCACCCCTGGGGCGCCCGGGTGGCTCAGTCATTAAGCATCTGCCTTCAGCTCAGGTCATGATCCCAGGGTCCTGGGATCGAGCCCGGCATCGGGCTCCCTGCTCGGCGGGAGGCCTGCCTCTCCCTCCCCCACTCCTCCTGCTTGTGTTCCTGCTCTCGCTGAGTCTCTCTCTGTCAAATAAATAAATAAAATCTTTAAAAAAATAAAAAATAAAAAACAAAAAATCCCACACTGCCACACTTATTTTATATTTGTGACCATATCTGATCACATTATGGGTTTTACTTAATTTTAATTATGCCTGTATCTTATGTTATTTCAGGTAATAAAGTTAGACAAAATAAATAATGTTAATGGTTATCTTCTTTATGATGTTTTCTTTACAGCTCATGATACAGTGCTCCACACTTATAAAAATTAATTAGGAAACAGTTAACAAATACCTCCAAATTTTATAATAGCCCTGCAAATTTATTTGTATTTAAAAGGCTTTAATACAGAAATAAAAGAATCTCTTATTTGCACAAAGCTTGGAAGAAAATGAACATTTTACACACTGTAAGTGAAGGCAGTATAAGCTTAATTAGAAAATAAAGAGTTTTGGGATTCAGTCAGACCCTGGTTTGAATTCCAACTCTATCACCTACCTACCTACCAGGCTGTGTAACCTTGGGCAAATTATGTTTTCTTAACCTAGATTTTACATTTCAAAAGGTGGCAGAACTTATTCAATGGACCAGATGTGTTCAATAAATGGCAGTCATTGTTAAATATACAGCAGCTACTTTGTTTTTTAAAGATTTTATTTATTTATTTGAGACAGAGTGAGAGAGAGAGAGAAAGCATGAGCGGGGCCTGTGGTGGGGGGCCTGGGGAGGTGGGCAAAGGGTGAGGGAGAAGCAGGCTCTCCACCGAACAGGGAGCTGGATGCGGGGCTCCATCCCAGGCCCCTGAGATCATGACCTGAGCTAAAGGCAGACACTTAACTGACTGAGCCACCCAGGCGCCCCTACAACAGCTACTTTGCTTTGGGAAAGTTTGCAAAATTTGGGTGAAAAGTCAATACTGAGTTTGCCCTGTTCACATGGGTTTCAGCCTGTTTTGATTTTGCACACAACTGGCTGGAACCCTGATAACCATCCTAACTAGATCCTTCCCTCAAACCTACTTCAAACTCAACTGATACAGACCTACACTTCTGATTCCAAGTATTATCTGTCAAGTCTCAAGAACAAATTCTTTCAGAATCATCCTTGCCCAGTCAAGGATTTGGACTGGAACCCACCTCCTTTGGGTGCCAACTCACAAGTGGATTAGTTCTGTTCGTCCCCGTGCTATGTTCCTCCAGCTCACAGCATGCTCTGAGACTCTGTAAATCTCAGTTAATGGTAAATGTTTAATAATGTCAAAATAATTTTTTAAGATTTATTTATTTATTTGAGAGAGAGAGAGCACATGTGAGCAGGGGGAGAGGAGAGAGGGAATCTACAAGTAGACTCTCCACTGAGTGTGACTCAGGGCAAGATCCCAGGACCCTGAGATCATGATCTGAGCTGAAACAAAGAATTTTGACTGAGCCTTCCAGGCACCCCTCAAAGTAATTTTAAAAAATCATTATCTGGAGGAAGGGTACGGACAGTTACTAAAGGCCAAATACACACTAGTTAACTGTTGTTAAAGGATAAACTGAGGGACATTAAAAATTTTAAGAGTTTATTTGAACAAAAATTTATTCTCATCAGGCATCACCAAACCAGAAGTGATTAGAAGCACTTCACAGACTGCCCCTAGGGGCAAGGCTTTTATACAGAAGACATGGAAGCAAAGAAGAAAATTATTTGACTGGGTATAGTTCAAGGGCTTGTATTCTTTAGGAAAGCCTAGTTGGCTGTTTGTTATTGGTTGTCCTTAGGTTTAGACTGCATAATCCTGAGGCATTTACAGGCTTAGGTTTTGGTTTGCTTGTGTCAGCTGCTAAGGCATGGGAGCCACCTCAGTCCAATGGCCTCCTTGCTTAATTAATTTAACACTGTGCTATGGGCTAGGTTACACCACTCATCTCTTAATTCTTGTAATAACTCTCAGAGGTAGGAATGCTTTGAAAGCAATCTGAAAATATCGAACAATACCAATATATTAATATTACCCATACCAATATATTGGGAATATATCCCTATTTAAAAAATCCTTAATAATACTTTGTATAAAGATAGTTAATGCAAGGCCATTCAGGATGGCATAAATTGTAAGTAATTCAAATACAGGTTTCCTCTGCTATCAGAAAGAGCTTTTCTATTCCTAGGAAACATTTTGTAAGCCAAAACAGAGTAAAGCGAAGAAGCAATTATCATTAATTTATACAGAAAGTTATTTTGACTGTTTCCAGACCAAAAATAACCTCTTTCAGGCTTTTCTGATACCTTAGGACACATCTTGCTAAGGGATATACAAAATAAATTGAGGTAAAGCACAGATGCTCACAGACACAGTTCAAAGCTATCGCAGCTTGATACTGAGTATAATTCCGGGGAGGGAGCTTGGCAGGACCACTCTTGCTGCTTGGGTGCCCACACCCTCTATAACGGCTTGCTGCAACACACACACACACACTGAATGCTATTTTCATTTTTTTTTCTTTTTTTTTTCATAAAAGTGAAAATCCTCTTTGGATTTCTTTTGGATAGTGAAAACAGGTACCACCAGCAGGTCTTTCATAAAAGCCCAGTGGTATAACACAAACTTTTGAAAAGTAGGGGATACCTGTACCTAACATTCCTCAAATGATTGTTACCCCAAAACTATGGAAAAGCTTCTGCTCATTATATTTGTAAAATGTGGACTCCTTAAAAATCTAACTATGCACATAAACTAAACAAAATGTGTAGAAAACAATATAGTTCATAACAACCCAAAGTTTGTATGTATACAAACAAGGCTTAGAAAGGAAAATACTAATAAAAATCAGTGTTAATTGGGTTCTTTATTCCTAAAAAGTTGTGTGTCATGGCAGACAAGGCACACAAATTTTTAAAAATACTATAGAAAAACTGTTTCCAAATGATTATTCACTTATGTCTAATGATTAAATGCCAAGTTTATGTCATGAAGTATGATTGAAAGTACGATAGTATATCACTTTGCTCAGAGACTAGAGAAAAGTTTTATATAAATCAGTTTAGTGTGTAGGAGAGGTCTCCACTTGTACTGTCAAAGGCTCAGACAGTCCTGATGTTGGACAACAGATGCAGCAGACTGATAAAAG